GTGGCAGGAAAAATGCCACTTTTCCTTCCCTAGAACATCTTCTCACCAGGGGATCTTAAAGTGCTAACAGATACCATTGAATCAATGTCCCTAAACAATGGGCATTATCCCCATTTTACAGCTTGGGAAAGTCAGGCACCCCGAAAAGTTACTTGCCCTCGGTCACCTGGGAATTCCTGACTCCCTGTTCTTTGTTTTAACCACACAACTCTCCTTCCCGCAGGGTAAACATAAAATAAGCAAATCTGGATTTCGAACACTCCTCCTGCTCAAACCAGCATGAAGGGTGTTTGAATCAAGGGTGAGAGAAAAGACTCCAGGGCAAAACTCTGGATTCAAATCCCACTTTAGGGCCAGGATTTCAACCTGCTCTATGTCTAATCTCAAGCTGTGTTGGGAGAAACTCGGGTGGGAACCCGGCCCTGGTGCTGCTAAACAGGAGCTGACCAAAGCAAAAGCAGAGCTAATCATGATGCAGGCTGCTAAGAGAGCATCATGAAAACAAGACAGTCCTCTCGTTCCTAGAGGCGCTACCTGCGGGCACCCAGGTCAGCCTGTAACCTGATGCTCCCCTGACCGGGGTCCACCTGGCCTGGATGGTGTCCGTCGTTTCATTCTGCAGCAGGAGGCTTTTCACTGGCAGAAGCTTCACTGTAAGAGCAAAAGGGAATAAACATTTCAAAAACGCTGCCTTGCAACCTATGCACTCGCCAGCTGCCTCCCGCCGGCGTTCGCCAGCAGGGAGAGAGATTTCCCGGAGTTCCTGCAGCGCCTGTCAGTTGTAACGCATCTCATAAGAGGCAGTTGTCCACTCATCAGGAACAGTCACTCTGCTCGAGCTGTCACCGTCGCGTTCTCCAGCCCGCATGGCGGATGTGCAGGTCTGGTATGATTTACACGGCGGGAATAGAAAACATGGGGATGCCAACAGCTCTGCAGGCCGAGGCTTAGCGAGAGAGCGAGGTGCAAGGGGGCAGAGAGGAAGGCTACTTCTTTTAAATCAGGGGTGGGGAAGCCCTTGGCTTGCCTGGATCCAGCCCCTAAAGCTCGGGGTTCTCCTTTCCCAGCATGGGGGAGCTAGTTCTGGCATTCCAGCCCTGCGGCCCCCACTCTCAGCCCACTCTTGCACCTCCCCTCTGCTCCTACCCCCTACCTCCCGCCCACACCCCAGTTCCCGGCAGCTCCCTCCCACATATTGAACCCCTCATTTTTGGCCTCACTGGAAAGCCAATGGGGGGGGCACAAAATCTACTAGCCCAGGCCCCCTAGATTCTAGTGTGCGAGGGGAAAGTGGAGAGTGTCTTTCTCTTTTGCACTTAGGAGCCACATCAGTGAGGGTTTTTTTTTACTTCCCACTTGTGTTCAGCCCCTGACCGATTTTTCTGTGGGTCAACAGCCCCTAGCCCCAAAAAGGTTCCCCACCCCTGTTTTAAATACTGGCCAGACACTCAACTAGTATATATCTCTGCCTAAATCCCAGCGACTTCCATGAAATCGAGGATCTAGAACTGTTTAATTTAGAGCTCCTGAAATTTCCGTTCTGGGTTGGGGGTGGAGCCTAAACAACCAAAAGGCCCGCCCCTTCAGATGTGGGAGGGGCCACAGAGCCCAAACAACAACTAGCTGCAGTGAAAGTGGCCAGCAAAGGAGTCCTCTTTATCCAGAACACAGTCTGTAGCAGGGCTAGCTTCCTGCTTCTAGACCCCTGCCTCCCACTGGACATGCTGAGCCCCACATCCAGGAGCAGGAGGGAGCTGGCCCAGCTGCTGAAATTGACAAGGAGGGTGTCAAACAGAGAGTGGGTGGAACCGATTAGGAATCTGTTGACTAAATGTTGAGGTTCATCCCCCCAAAAAAATGATTGGACTAAACCACAACATTTAAGGAGAAATGGCCAGGTGCAAAGAATTTCTCAATTTACAATTTTTTGGAAAAAAAAAAGTTTTGAAATATCCCTTTGCAACGTGACTGAAACACAAAACCCTAGTATTTTTGTCCAGAATTATTTTCATTTAGAAATTCCAGCATATTGGAGTAAAAAAGGGTTTTCTTTTCATTAAAAATGAATGTCCAAACGCAAAGCAAAACATTTTGATTGGCCTGAACGGACAACGTCATCTGATTTTTGGTTCACCAAGGTTTTGAAAATGTTGCCTTTTTGTCCTGATTCAGAAAAGGAAACGGTCTAGAAATCTCAAAACATTTTCCAGGATGGGGAATGCATTTCCCACCTAGCTCTGGTGATGGGCTTTGAGTGACAGGAAATAAAGGAGGTGAGGCTTTCTCTGAAATATCAAGAACAGGTCGTAACTGATTTGATGGTTCAATAAAAGACAGTTACCCATTTGGCCAAGACTTGTTTAAAATGGCTCCTAAATCCTTCCTTTGACTTCAGACAGCGAAAGGAGAGCCCGAGTAAGTCTGTTTTATGATATTAAAGGGGTCGGGACGGAAGCTAAACGGTTGAGAGCAGTCTCCCAGCGTGTGCCAGTGAATGTGAGCATGTGTCTGGGATCGGAGCGGAGTGAGCATGCAGAGGAAAGTGTGCCAACGCACTGGGGTGGATGGAAGGACATGCCTTAGCATGCATGAGAGCACAAAACTAGGGGTTTGTCTACACTGACCCGTTTTGACTCCAAAACCTGCCTTTCGGCAACAAAATAACATGGCTGTGTCTAGACTGGCCACTTTTTCCAGAAAAGCAATGTCTACACTGTCAGCTTGAATTTCTGCAAAAGCACTGACGATCTCATGTAAGATTGTCAGTGTTTTTGCAGAAATACTATGCTGCTCCCATTCGGGCAAAGTCTTTTTCCGAAAAACTTTTGCGCAAAAGGGCCAGTGTAGACAGCAGAGATTTGTTTTCCACAAAAAAGCCCCTATTGCAAAAATGGCGATCGGGGCTTTTTTGCAGAAAAGCGCGTCTAGATTGGCCACGGACGCTTTTCCACAAAAAGTGCTTTTCCGAAAATGTTTTTAACGGAAAACTTTTCTGTTAAAAGCATTTCCAGAAAATCATGCCAGTGTAGACATGCCCATGAGTGTTTACACGGCAATGTGACTTTTGTGGGGGAAAACCACTCGGTTTTGGTGACAAAAAACTTCCAGCCCTGCGAGAGACTTTTCTTTTCCCCTCCCTTTATTGTTGACAAAGAGCCAGTGTGGCCTCTGCTGTTTATTTTGTCAAGAGAATTGGATTCCGCCAGTATCCCACAATGCCTGCCCTGACAGCTCTGTTCAGTGTTTTATGATCTCTGCTGCCCTGCAGGCATGCACCCACCCCCCTCCTGTTTCAAAGCTCCGGGAAGTATCTGACAGCTGAGTGAGCTGCTCTCTCTGGGGAACAAAGAAAAAAGCATTGGAGTGATCTTGTTCTGCCCTGCTAGGAACACAGAGACAGGCAAACTGCTGCTACAGTGGGAGGGCTGGAGAGACAGCTGTGCTGCTTTGACATTTGTCAGCATGGAGAGCTCACGGAGCTACAAGAGAATCCCAAGAAGCGCAGGGATCAGCTCAGCCTTCCCACAATGCTGCACTGTGGGATGCCCTCCCACAGTGCTTTGCTCTTATCTACTGACAGGGAGCTAGCAAAGTGGCCATGAAACCTCGACAATGGGAGGCAGAAAAACCGGTTTGACCGGTTTTCACTTTTGATGACTTTTGCATGTCAACAGCACTTATGTGGCCAAACCTTCCCAGGATAGAGCTAGCCTAGGGGTAGAGTGTGCGTGAATGAGGCAGGTGTGAGAGCAAAAGCAAGCGTGCAAAGAAGACCGTTCAGCTGCCCATCCAGCATGCAATGGAAAACATTCCTGGGCACAGGGCAGGCATGCGAAGGAGAGCAGGCATGAACCCCAAATCCCGCGCAATTCAGAATCCCACCGGAGCAGGCAAACCTCTTACATGTTCTCCCCGTAGCGGACACTGGCTGGCTCGGGCCCTGGCGGTACACCGCATAGATACTGACGGTATATTCTTTATCCTCCTGCAAGTTGCCAAGCACGTGGGACGTGACCTCGCCTGGCAGGATCTGCTCATAGGTCACGCCGGGCCTGTCTGCTGTAGGGACCAAAACCAAACAGGACACCCTGGTGAGTGACGCCTGTGGGCGGAGACGTGAGGCATATTGGCCGGTCTAATGTCAGAGGATTAGATGTGGGACAGCCCCTGAATGGTACCGTCGGGGGCTGCCCAGGAAAGACGGGACCAACGGGACCATCCTGCCCTCAACGGGACCATCCTGCTTTCTGCAAGAGGCTCCCCCCAGGGTGACTGTAAGAGGGCGCAACTCACCGCCACGGCGCCTCCTGCTGGTCACGTGGGAATTGGCTCTTTAGCCCTGGGGCGCCCCCTTTCGGCTGGTGTCTCACCCTCTGGGACCTGCAGCTCGTGTTAGGAGCTGTGTCCTTTCCCGACCACAGCACCTTTCCCTCCGGTACTGCTTCACCACAGCGCCCCCACACGCTGGACTCTTCCCCTTCAGGAAACCCCCAACCCTCTATGCCTTCCCAGTGACCCACTGCCCATCATCATCTAGCCCCCGCCTCAGGGGCAGACTGCAGCATGGCATGGCCCCTCAGCACTGGCAAGGGGGCTCCCTGCAGCCCTAGTAGCCTCCAGCCTTGAGAGCAAGGCCTCAGCCTGGGAGCTTGCCTGGCCAGAGCTCCCAGCCCTGCCTGCCTTTCCCCAGCCCTGCTCTGTATCAGGAAGCCTCTAGTTTCCCTAGCAGCCAGGTCCCTCCTGCACCTCAGCTGGAGCAAGAATGAGTGAATCTCCGCCCCACCAGGAAGCCTCATTTATACAGCCCCAGCTGGGCCCTGATTGGCTGTATCTGCCTCAGCTGCTTGCTCCACAGCCCCCGCCCTCTCCTAGGGCTGGATTTAACCCTTAAAGGGCCAGTGCAGGGCAGACACCCCATCACAGTACCAGACAGCTCAGCAATGCCACACGATCTTCACTGCACTGTGAGGCCAGGGCTAGGCCTTAGAGCACAGAGCTCCCGAAGTGGGCGTGAAAATACATGCGGCTGGTGAGCAATCCCGCGTAGCTCACGACTTACCTCTGGGGATGTAGATCTTGTAGCCTTCTAGCTTCCCGAGCGGAGGGGTCCAGGCTACCTTGAGGCTAAGGAGTCCTTCTTCTATGACCCGGAAATTGGTCACTGGAGGTATGGGCGCTTTAAGACACACAAGGGAGCCAGAGGTTAAAGGGCAGGGCTGCCTCCCTGGGAAGACCGCCTTACAAAGAGAAACTCCCACAATCTCCGAGGAGGAAGAGATGCAGCGGAAACAGACACCACTCGCCCAATGGCAGATCCCCCATGCTCCCGTCCCTCTCCTCACTAGCAAAGTCCCTTGCTTCATCCCACCCACACACCCTCACCTTGCAGGGTCCCTGGCACATGTGCAGTGTGAAGGTCACAGGCGCAGAATGTTTCAGGATCGCCCACAATGCACCACTGCGTAGGACAGCGCTGGGAACGCTAGGGGGTCTACCTGGTCCTGGGTTTACAAAGGCGCCGTGGCACTGTACCCACATCCAGGAGGCACCCACATGTGGCCCTTCTTCCCTCCGCTCACACTCCCTCCGATACTCCATCCCGTTCAGCCTCCCACCCCTGAGGTTCCTCTCCCCACCCTCCCTCCATGAAAATGGTGGGCGAGACCTCTAGGGAAGAGGCCATGTGAGGGCAGAGCCTTCAGACAGAGCACAGGTGGAAGAGGGGCGAGAACATAAGAACATAAGAACGGCCATACTGGGTCAGCCCATCTAACCTAGTGTCCTGTCTGCCAACAATGACCAATGCCAGATGCCCCAGAAGGAGGGCTCATAACAGGTAATCCTCATGTGATCCCTCCCCTGTCACCCACTTCCAGAGAAACAGAGGCTAGGGATACGATTCCTACCCATCCTGGCTAACAGCCATTGATGAACCTAATCCCCATGAATCTATCTAGTTCTTTTTTTGAACCCTGTTAAAGTTCTAGCCTTTACTGCATCCTCTGGCAAGGAGTTCCACAGGTTGACTATGCGAGCTTGGGGGGTAGAGGACTGGAGTACAGGAGAAGGGGGGATCTGAGAGGGAATTTGGGTGAATGAGGGGGCTGTGATCTGGTGTATCACAGAATCCTAGAACGGGAAGTAACCTCAAAAGGTCATCAAGTCCAGCCCCCTGCCCTCATGGCAGGACCAAGCACCATCTAGACCATCCCTGACAGGTGTCTGTCCAACCTGCTCCTCAATATCTCCAGGGATGGAGATTTCACAACCTCCCCAGGCAACTTATTCCAGTGTTTGACCACCCTGACAGGTAGGAAGTGTTTCCTAATGTCCAACCTAAACCTCCCTCACTGCAGTTTAAGGCCATTGCTTCTTGTCCTGTCCTCAGAAGTCAAGAAGAACAGTTTTTCTCCCTCCTCCTTGTAACACCCTTTTAGGTACTCGAAATTCTCTTCTCTTCTCTTCTCTTCTCTTCTCTTCTCTTCTCTTCTCTTCTCTTCTCTTCTCTTCTCTTCTCTTCTCTTCTCTTCTCTTCTCTTCTCTTCTCTTCTCTTCTCTTCTCTTCTCTTCTCTTCTCTTCTCTTCTCTTCTCTTCTCTTCTCTTCTCTTCTCTTCTCTTCTCTTCTCTTCTCTTCTCTTCTCTTCTCTTCTCTTGATGGTGGAAGCCTATCTCCCAAGGACAGGGAAGCTATGACATTGGGGAGTTTTTGTAAACAGAAGCCTGTAGAGGCAAGGTATTTAAGGTTTCTTATGGGCCCCCACCGTCTGCACTCAGAGTGCCAGAGTGGGGAACAGCCCTGACACCCCACCACAGCTCCCATTGGTCCAATGTACAAAGCAACTTGCCGAACTGTGGCCCAAGAGAGCTCACTTGTGCTCAGGCCCTTGGAAATCGTATTGCATCGCACAGCATTGCTGATGAATTGGATACCATCGTTCATTCAATCGGACAGTAACGCATGCTTTCAAAGCGGCACCAAACAGACACACGGTGTCCCGCTGGCTTCCGGACACGTCAGCAAACAGACAGCGCGGGAAGCGGTGTCCAAAGGACACACTCACTCGTCTTGCCCGTGACAGTCGCCGACTCTCCACGGGTGTCTGCGTAGACGGCCAGGACCGTGAAGAAATAGTTGGTGTCGGGCTGCAGATCTGGCACTAGCACGCTGCTTTCCTTGCCATCCACAACGATCTGCCGCAGGCAAGAGAGGAGAGGTGGCCACAGTTGGATGAAGCAGGCTCGGGCTCTGATGAGCTACGCAACAAGCCATGCAGCTATGGGAGGACAGGGCTAGAATGCCAGCAAGGAATTCAAGCATTTTGATCTGGCTGGGCGTAAAAGGGGATTTGCCCTCGCCACAGATACAAGCTTGTAAATACCACAGAGAGGAAACCATTACAAACAGGGGCGTCGACAAACTTGCTGGGCCCCTTGGCGAGGTGTGGCACCACCTTCCTGGAAGGGGCAGGGCCTCTGGCAGAAGGGGCGGGACTTGGAGCACACCTTGCCCCCTCCCACCTTAGAGCTGCCTGAAGTGCACGGTACGGTGCGATGCTCCAGCGGCGTTTTAAAGGGCCAGAGGCTCCAGGCTCTTTTGAATCACCGGATCCTGGGGCAGTTGCCCTTTTTGCCCCCTTCCGCCACCCCGTTGGTGGGCCTGATTACCAAGGAGAAGGGGTTTGATCTAAAGCCGTGTTCTCAAGTCAGCGGGAGACGTTCCATTAAGGTGAAAGGCTTTTGGATGAGAAGTCACGGGGTGCAATTGGTAAGCAAAAAACGGAGGCTGAAAATTTATTTTGGAGTTTTATTGGGCTAGTCCAGCTCTCCAGAGCAGAGGCCGACTCTTGTCGCACGCACGCGCAGCGGGGCCCTGGTTTCAATCGGAGCTGCTGTGATGCAAATAATAACGACATGCAGCGTAATATCCGGGCCCACTAGAATGAGCGGACAGGACCACTTGCCGGGCACTGCGGTGGCAGCATCTGCTCCAATGGGATTAGAGATCACTGCTGTTGACTGGCATGCGGAAGGGGAAGGGCGGACGTGTGCTGAGGAAGTGGTTCTACCCAAGCCAGGCGGAAGACTGGGAGCACCGGGACGCCTTTGAGAGAGCCTGCTGGTGAGATTTCCAGCCTCAGCTCAGGACAAAGGGAGTTCGGGATGGAAAAGAGCCATTAGATTAGCCCCGCCTCTCACCCTCCCTTCCCCTCCATGGTCATAGGGGAACCGTCCTCTCCCTTCCCCTCCATGGTCATAGGGGAACCGTCCTCTCCCTTCCCCTCCATGGTCATAGGGGAACCGTCCTCTCCCTTCCCCTCCATGGTCATAGGGGAACCGTCCTCTCCCTTCCCCTCCATGGTCATAGGGGAACCGTCCTCTCCCTTCCCCTCCATGGTCATAGGGGAACCGTCCTCTCCCTTCCCCTCCATGGTCATAGGGGAACCGTCCTCTCCCTTCCCCTCCATGGTCATAGGGGAACCGTCCTCTCCCTTCCCCTCCATGGTCATAGGGGAACCGTCCTCTCCCTTCCCCTCCATGGTCATAGGGGAACCGTCCTCTCCCTTCCCCTCCATGGTCATAGGGGAACCGTCCTCTCCCTTCCCCTCCATGGTCATAGGGGAACCGTCCTCTCCCTTCCCCTCCATGGTCATAGGGGAACCGTCCTCTCCCTTCCCCTCCATGGTCACAGGGGAACCATCCTCTCCCTTCTCCTCCATGGTCACAGGGGAACCGTCCTCTCCCTTCCCCTCCATGGTCATAGGGGAACCGTCCTCTCCCTTCCCCTCCATGGTCATAGGGGAACCGTCCTCTCCCTTCCCCTCCATGGTCATAGGGGAACCGTCCTCTCCCTTCCCCTCCATGGTCATAGGGGAACCGTCCTCTCCCTTCCCCTCCATGGTCATAGGGGAACCGTCCTCTCCCTTCCCCTCCATGGTCATAGGGGAACCGTCCTCTCCCTTCCCCTCCATGGTCATAGGGGAACCGTCCTCTCCCTTCCCCTCCATGGTCATAGGGGAACCGTCCTCTCCGGCCCAGCTCTGGCTTCTCCCCCAGACAGGGGGCAGGGCCTGGGGGAAGGGGAGGAGCAGGGGGCGGGGCCATGTGGTGAGGCAGAATGGGGGAGGCGGAGCTGAAATGTTGTGGGTGCCCAGGGTCCCAATAAGTCTTATTTTGTCTCTGTAGAAGACTTTTGAAAAAAACAGGCCAGGTGTGGTTAATATTATGCACACGTCTTAAAACACCGCTAAAGCAGTGTGCATTTTTCACGGGGGGCTAGGCTGGGACGCCCCCGGGAGGGATCAAACAGCTGGCGCTAGAGGAGTCTGAACTTCACACATGGGGCACGGGAGCCTTGGTTATGTCAGGTGGTAATGGGCCAGATTCTGCCACTGGCCGGGAACGAGCCATGGGATCACTCCACAAGGGTGTAGTGTCCCGTTGCCGGGTCATTCTCACTGAAATGATTGGACCGTACCTCGCGGGCCAGGGGGAAGCTCAAGAGGTTGATTTATAACCCCTTCCACTCCCGACAGGGATTGGGCATGTGGAAATCTCAGATTTCCTGTTGGCACCAACTTTGGGTAGCACAGTCCTGCTGCCCCTGATAGTAGGGGGTCTTACTCCATGGTGGGACTCCTGGGGACTATGGTAATAAACAACAACGCTGTAGGAACCGAGCACCTCCTGGTCCGTAACACGCGTGCTCAGTTCCGACAGTAATGGGCTCCCCATCAGCATTGTTTTTTATTATTATACACCCCAGAAAGATAGAGCAAGGACTAGTATCCCCCTTATACAGATGGGGAACTGAGGCACAGAAAGGCTAGGAGACTCACTCAAGGTCAAGGAGGAAGCCTGGGGCAGAGCAGGGAACTGACCTCCACTTTCCTAAGGGCCAGGCCAACCCCCAGAGCCAGCCAGACTAGCAATTGGTCCAGAGCCTAATTCGTATCACTCACAGGCCTGGCTGAGCTGTAGAAGGCCCTTGTGAGCACCAGGGCCAGCCACTAGAGGGAGCCATGATCCCAGCCATCAAAGCTGCTATTACACCGTCTACCTGCTGCTGGTCCTCAGAAATGGGCTGCCCCGTAGCGGAAAGTGAATTCAGGAGGACGTGGTATTCCGTCACCTTCCCCGTGGCTGGAGTCCACGTCAGCCTCAAAGAGCTGTAGCGTTGTTCGCTGACAAGTAAATCCCGGGGTCCGATGATCTTCTCCGCTGAAAGCAGGCGGGGAAATAAATCTGGATTTGGGATGTGGGGGTACGTGCTTATTGTGAAATAAGCTATTTCGGAATAATATCAGAGGGGTCGCCGTGTTAGTCTGAATCTGCAACAGCGGCGAGGAGTCCTGTGGCACCTTATAGACTAACTGAAGTGTTGGAACATAAGCTTTCGTGGGCAAAGACCCACTTCGTCAGATGCCTGTCATCTCATGTCATCTCGTGCATCTGACGAAGTGGGTCTTTGGCCACGAAAGCTGATGCTCCAACACTTCAGTTAGTCTATAAGGTGCCACAGGACTCCTCGCCGCTGTTGCAGATTCAGACTAACACGGCTATTTCAAAGTAGGCGCTGTTCCTCGTGAAATGAGGGTTTATTATTCCAGACTAAGAAGCCCTTTACCCTGAAATTATTTCGAAATAACAGGCTTGCTGTGTAGACGCTCACCTTGCTAATTCGAAATAACGCTGCAGTGTTGTGGTGCCCTTACAGCCACCGCAGGAGAAGACTTCTGTTAACAACCCTGCCCTTTCCCTTCCAGAGACAGCCTTGAAAAGGAAGTCTCGGCCAAGGCAACCCAACGAGTAAGACTGAAGGAGACCGGGAGCTGGACTCGAGATCTGTGCCAGGTTTGAAAGCTCTCATCCCCCAACAAAAGGCAACATGCCATTGTGGGGTGAAGAGAAAGATCAGGGACACCCATCCTGCAGGCTGTGTCTACACTGGCCACTTATTCCGGAAAATCAGCCGCTTTTCCGGAATAACTTGCCAGCTGTCTACACTGGCCCCTTGAATTTCCGGAAAAGCACTGACGATCTACTGTAAAATCATCAGTGCTTTTCCGGAAAAACTATGCTGCTCCCGTTCGGGCAAAAGTCCTTTTCCAGAAAACTGTTCTGGAAAAGGGCCAGTGTAGACAGCACAGATTTCTTTTCCACAAAAAAGCCCCGATCGCGAAAATGACGATCGGGGCTTTTTTGTGGAAAAGCGCGTCTAGATTGGCACGGACGCTTTTCCGGAAAAAGTGCTTTTCCGGAAAAGCATCCTGCCAATGTAGACGCACTTTTTCTGGAAATACTTATAATGGAAAACTGTTCCGTTTTAAGCATTTCCGGAAAATCATGCCAGTGTAGACGTAGCCGCAATGTTTCCAAGCTCTTCGTTTTGCCAAAAGATTCAAAAAGGTTTCTTTTGAGTCGATGTGGCCCCGGGATAGATGCAAACCCTGTTCCTTGCATGGAAATGAACCAGCCCCAGGGAGTTCAATGCAGTGTAGACACACCCTACAGGTCTCTAAAGGTCCATGCATGTGAATAAAGGGGATGCAGGAGAGTAAGTCTAATGGGAGGTAGGGGACCGCCTGGGAGGAGGGAGGCTCACTGAAGGAGGAAGGGGTTGACTCAACCAAACTGAAAATAAGGGTGGGCAGAGGGTTGGACTCACCGCTCACAGCTTGCTTGGTGGGCTGTGGAGGCTCGGAGGCCGTGATGCAGAGCCTTCGGGAGAGTTTAGGGGACAAGTGAGCCAGTTGGTGGAAATCTTCAGCATAGAGCATGTGCTCCTCGACGGGCTTGGAAGCTATTCTCCGCAGCTCCTTCCTATTGGCATTCTGAATGCCTAAAGGCGGGGAAAGGAAGGGGAAACAAGAGGCCTGATTCGTCACTGCCTTCTACCTGGCGGTGCCTCTTAGGCATGTCTACACGAGGCAATTATTTCAAAATAACTATATTTGACTCAACTCCGGACTTTACAAAAGCGAAATAGCCGCTCCCCACTTTAGGGAAGCCCCAAAAGTAATCCGAGGCAGGCTCCATTAATGTGGACACGCTACTTCGACTTAGAGCCCCAGGCAACACTGGGGAGTAATTCGTTCGAATGACTCTGGGGAGTCGTTATTTCGAAATAGCGGCAGCGAACGTCAACACGACCGCTATTTCGAAAGAAATATTCTGAAACTAGCGTTATTCCCCAAGGAAAGCAGGAGTCCGGATTTTGAAATAAGCAGCCCGTTATTTTGAAATAACAGGCTTGGTCGTGTGGACGCTCCGCTTATAAATTCGACCTAAAGGGGGTTATTTCGAAATAACACCTTAGTGTAGACCAGGGCTTAGACTGCTGCATAGCAGAGTGGAGAATCAGAAACAAGATTTAGAGGTGTATCTCTCTAGAGGATCGGCAGGTCCCACGTTGTGTTTTCTCAGGGGTATATACGATATTTTGCAGTGCATAGCCCTGGGTGTATGCAATATTCAGTGATGTAGGTGTAACCACCACCCAGTGGATTTGAACCTGGGACCTCTGAAGCTTAGTATAGAAGCCTCTACCCTCTGAGATAAAAGCCAGCTGTGTCCCAGCACATGCTGTAGAGGTCTCTTGATCTTAGCTGTTGCTGTGGTCTAGGTGCCACTTGCATTGGTCAGTGAACCACACTAGGTGTGTGCGTAACCTAGGTCCTAGAGTACACCCGATGTACGCACTACCACATATACACCATGCATGGTGGGGATGTTCTAAACATCTCCATTCCTACCGCACCTACCGACAGCAAACACTGTGACTCCTCTGTCCTGTAGCACCACGGCAGCGTCTTCCACTGAATCAGCTGATTGCCCGTCTGTGATCAATACAACGACCTGCAAGGAAGCAGAGCCACAGCTCAGTAACGAGGGTGTCTAACATGAGCCATTTGCAGCACCAAAGATGACTGGCCACAGCGCTCTCCCAGCGGGCGAGGTGTTCCCTCAGAGAGCCCGGCAAGGAAGGAGCCAGGTTGACGACCCTGGAAAGGAGGGGCTGCAGCTTTTCCCCAGAGCAGAGA